GAAAGACCTGGTGATTTGCTGCCATAAAGATTGTTGTTGTTGTTGTTATGTGCCGTCGAGTCGGCCCGACTCATAGTGACCCCTCCTTGGGTTTCCGAGGCAGTATCACTACGGAAGTAGGATTGCCCAACCTTCCTTCCGAGGAGTGGCTGGTGGGTTTGAACCGCCAGCCGTCTGGTTAGCAGGCAAGTGTCTTAGCCATTATGCTACCAGAGCCATAAAGATTACAACATAGAAAACCGTGTGGCACCATTGTACTGTCACATGGGGTCAACTCAAGGACACCTAATGACAACACAAGTCACCTGTGCAGGGCAGGAGAGGAAGGAATGGATTAGAAGGCAACAAGGCTCAGAACTGCCTCTTGCACCGTGGGACGACACAGCCTTTCCAGCCCACCGCCTGCCTATAAAGTGTTCAGGATCATTTTTTAGGCCAGGCATGTGAGTTTTCTCAAAAACTGAATAGGCTTCTTACCTGTTTAACTCTAGTCAGTTCTACGTATTATAACCACACCTGCAATTCTTTACAATACATACTTCTTAAAACCAGATGCTACTATGGTGATCCCACGTGTGTCAGAGGAGAACTGGGTTCCGTAAGATTTTCAGCGGCTGATTTTTCGGCAGCAGATGCCACACTTCTCTTCTGAGTCAAACTTCCGAGCTTTCCGACCTTGTTAACCATTTGCAGCACTGAGGGACCCCACAGAGATCCTTAAAAACAAAACCAACTCACTACCGCAGCGTCGGATCTGACTCATAGCGACCCCTCCTTGGGTTTCTGGGGCGGTATCTCTGTGGAAGTAGATTGCCCGACATTCCTTCACGCGAGGAGTGGCTGGTGGGTTTGAACCGCCAGCCTTCTGGTTAGCATTCAAGTGCCTTACGCACTATGCTACCAGAGCTCCTTCATAGTTCCTAGGTCTGCTTTACTTCCTTGTTTTTTTATCCCAAAGTTCTCTCAATTTAAAGGCAGCTATCAAAGCCACCCACAGCTATAATACGATCTTAACTGTAAATATATCTATCTGAGAAGTTTTATAGAGGACTTTTCACTCAAAGCCTTTTTTAGAATTCAATCTCTTATTTTAATTGATTTTAGCCCTGAGGTACTTTATTCAGTAAGAGGACTTTTAAAAATTGGTGTGAAGGCCAATTTTGCCCTGAGACATTTGAATGAATTGATAAGATTTAATATACTCGGCAGGGGCAGTGGTGATTCGGTGGTAGAACTCTCCACTTCCATGTCGGAGACCCGGGTTCTGTTCCCCTAGCCCAGCTTCCTTAGTAAGGGGGGACTGAGCCTTTAAAAGAGGTAACGACTCCAAGAGCATGGAAGGAGAATGAAAAGACTCAGTGAGAGGATGAGGGCTCTAGCTATATAGTTAAGGGGCTCCGGAAGCAAGAGGGTGGGGCCTCCTGGCCCAGCGAGAGAGGGGTGGAGCTCAAGGACAGAGCTAGGACTCCGAGAGAGGAGTCTGAAGAGGTTGGGGGCTCAGACAGGAGATGGGAGTTTTTATACTGGGATTGGGACGTCAAGTATATGGGGAGGGAGACTCCAGAAAGGAATCTGCGGACACAGAGGAGATGAAGGCTCAGCGATGGAATGAGTCTTCAGTGAGAAGGGTGGGAGCTGGAGGGGGCGATGGACGCTTGGGTGAGGAGTTTGAGAGCCCCAGGGAGCTGGTGGGGTTTCCATGAGGGACTGGGGTCTCGGAAAGAGGAGAAAGGAATTCTGGAAGGGGAAGGGGGCTCGGGGAGATGCAGGGCGGCGCATTCTGCAGAGCCAGCCCCTGAGGCGGGCGGGCGCCCCCTCCTCCTCGCGCCCCTGGGTCACCCCCGCCCCCCACTGCGGCGCAGGCGCGGACTAAGCCGGCTCTTGCTCGGCTCCGGCTCCGGCTCCCTCTCGGCGGAGGCAGCAGGCGGAGAGGTGAGACCAGCCGCTGCTCCACGCGCGGCCTGACCCCTACCCCGCCCTTCCCAAGGGTTCCTGAGACACCACCCCTCCTTGACCTGCATCCTCAGTCCTGGCCGCGCCCTGCTTCGGCAGGACGGCGGCGCCCAAGCCCTGGCGAGCCTCGGCCTTTGGGAGGTGGGGTCCCGGGGTAGTAACGGGGACATGGACTGCACCAGCCCCATCGCACCTCCACACATCGGGGTTGACAGGCTGGGCGGAGATTTCCAAGGACAAGACCCCACCCACCTCTCTACTTAAAACCCCTCCCCATCCTGCTCTGCCTCCGTTTCCCCCTAGGGGGAAGGCTGCAGTTAGTCTCTACCAGGGGACGGGTCCGATCCGAAGCAGTGATCCGGGCTGGGGCAGAAGATAGCAGAGGCCTTATTTCCCTGACCTAGACCTCCGGACGGCGCCCGGTCTCTAGGTCTGGGCAGCGCTGGACGCCCCAGTGGGCGGGTCCGGGGGTCCGGGAAGGAGAGCTGAGTGTGGAAGCCACGGAGAGGCGAGAGTGTGTCCATCTGCAGGCCGTCGCTCCTGTCGCCTCCTGGTATCCCCCTCTCCCCTCGCCTCCTCCACCGCAGTCGCTCCTCTCGGACACCGCACCCCCTCCTCTTCCCGCTCTCTTCCTCCGGAGCTCCACTTCCCTCCTGGCCAGGAACACCTCCCCAGCGGTTCCCATGGAAACCCTCGTCCCGGGTACCCGCGCTGGCTCCCCAAAATCCCCGCCTTCTCTCCCTCCACCTGCCAGACCGCCTCCCTGCTATCCCTAAAATGAGAGGGGAGATAGCGTCAAGGTCACCTTGCTTCTTCGGTGCCAGCAGGATTGAGGGGTTTTATATATGTATTTAGGGGAGCGGGGCGGTGACGTGCAGAGGAGGAGCTGACCCGAGCTAAATACTCCCTGAACCTCCCTCCTCGTCCCCTCACCTAGGGCCATAAATTAACTGTGTGCCTTGAGGTTCCAGGTGCCACTCCCGCCTCCTCCATTCTCCCTGCCCACGCCTCCCCAACCTTCGCCTGAAGGGGCTGCCGCGCTGGCCATGCCCCGCGCCGGGCCGCTCCGCCCACCTCCCTGGCCCCGCGCTCCAATCCTCCCTCTCCGTCTCTCTGGTTTTCGCTCCTCCTGTTCTGTCTTAATTTTTTCCTTGTTTCGCCTCAGAATTGTGGGTGAGGGGCGTGGAGAGCCGCGATTTATGGGCAGGCTTTGTCTACAGCAGTCCTTTGCACTTATGTGGCTCCATGAGCCGTTCAAGAAGCTCCCCAGCACACACTGTATAGGTGTGTGTGAGTGTCTGTATGTGTGCGTCTCTGCATTTTTACGGGTGTGTCTGTGTGGTGTATGTGTGTTTCTCTGTGGCGTGTTTCAGTGTGTGTCTATTTGGGTATGTTTGTGAGTGTGTGTGTATGCACCTCTATTTTTCTGTGCTACGTGTCAATGGTATGTGTCTCTGTAGTATGTGTGTGTCTATCTGGGTGGGTCTCTTTGTTCTTGTGTGTGATTGTGTGTGCTGTGAGTTCTATAGGGGAAGATTTGAGGGCTACATCTGATTGGAAGTGACAGGAACCTTGAGATTTGTCTTACCTTTCAGAGCAAGCACATGGTTTTATTGTAGTTGAAGATGTGAAAAAATAAATGAAGATGCTCAGAGGATCTGAGGGCCATTCATCTTGGGTGGGGGCGGTGAAGGGAGGCAGGCATCCCAGCCCTTCTCCAGTACTTCCTGGGACTTTTGTGTGTGTGTGGTGAAAATATACACAACAAAACATCACCAGTTCAATCATTCCTCCATGTATGATTCAGTGACATTGATTACATTCAAGTTGTGCAACCATTCTTGATATCTTTTTCCAAATTATTGCACCACCATTAACACAAACTCTCTGCTCCCTAAGCAAAATTCCCCTTTTCTCCCTCCCTTCCATCCCTGGTAACAACTAACAATCTTTGATTTCTATATGTTTGCTTATTTCATAGAAGTGGGATCATATACTATAATTTGTCCTTTTGCAACTAACTTAACTTTGTTCATCATATTTTCAAGGTTCATCCATGTTGTGACATGCATCAGGACTGCACTGTTCTTTATGTCTGAGTTGTATTCCATCGTATGTATACACCACATTTTGTTTCTCCATTCATCCATTGATTTCAGTTTTGGTTGACTCCACCTTTTGGCTATTGTGAAAAATGCTACAATGCTGACTTTGGTTTTGACACTTAGTTGTGTGTGCATACACAAGTACCTTCTATTCCATGTCCCCATTTGTGACAAGAGAGGCACTTAGATGAGTTTCTCTAAGAAATCTAACAGCTCTTGAGCCTAAGAGGCTCTAATCCTGACTTTCACCTCTGGTGGAGTGAAGATTCTTTGGAACTTGGAGATTGTCATTACCTTCCAAAGGGTAGCTTAGGGAGGGACCTCCTAGAGCCTTATAGCCTGGGAGCCTTGACTGATTGGAGAAGTGTCAACCATGACAGTTACCCTCAGGAACAGCTTTGAATGGGGTGGATGTGGAATGGGATGAAGACGAGGATCTCTTGGCCCAAATGTGGGACCCAACAAATTCATAATGGCAATAATATAAATTAGAGCAATAATAATTACACCAGTGACTGTTTCTCTGTGCCAGATACAGTACCTATGTGAAGCAAGTATGGTTTTTAGCCTTGTACAAATGAGGACATTGAGGCACAAAGAAGTGAAGACCCCTGTCTGAAGTCACACGGTGAGGAAGTGGTAGATCTAGGCAGTCATGCTTCAGAGTCACTGGGCATCCTCCAGATTAAATACCCATGTTAACTGATACCTGTAATTGCCAAACACTGGACTAAGCATTTCAATGCATTGGCTTATTCACAGTGTAATTAGGAAAAGATAGACCCGGATTCCAGAAGACCAGGCTGTGCTATGAGTGTGGTGGGATCTCTTGAAGTGGCAGGAGAAGTGGATGGGGCACAAAGATTCAGGGGGGCCTGGGAGGATTACCGTGGGTGGGCAGCTCTTACTGACCCCTCCCTCTGTCAGCTGCACCAGGGATCCATGATGCCAAGCTATGATCCTTCCTGTGGCTGTAGCCACAGCCCCAACGTGGAGGATGGAAAGTGGTATGGAGTTCGCTCCTACATCCACCTCTTCTATGAGGACTGTGCAGGTGCTGCCGTCAGTGACGACTTCGAGGGTCCCCCTGTCCTGTGCCCCTGCCGACCCTGGCCTTCATTGTGCTGGAAGGTAAGGCCAGAGGAGGAGCAGCTCTTGTGATTTCCTGTGGCTTTACAGAGGAGATGGGACTGAGTTGAGGCTTAGAGGACAGAAAGAAAAGGCATGGTGTAGCAGTTAGGAATCTTGCAAGGTCAAACAACAGGAAAAACAACTCAGACAGGTTTACACAATAAAGGGAAAATACTGCTAATTTTATACAAGAGACCAGAGATTGGGTGACTTCAGGCAAAGTTTGATCCAGAAGTTCAAACCATCACACTGAAGACTTCTCAGTCTTCAGGGCCTGTGCTACTCCCTCGCCTATGGTCCACTCTCATCTTCGGGCTTTTCTGGCATGTTCTTCAAATGACTGCTACCATGCTGACCCCAGATCTTCACTTCACACACCATCCAAGGGAAGTCAGTGTTCTCCAGTAGTTCCTTCGGAAAAGAGACAATGCTTTTCATTCCCTGAAGTCCTGCCTGAGCATCACATTGGCTTTGATAGGGTCACTTGCCCGTCCCTGAACCAGTGACCAATGAGGAGAATGGGATACATTGACTGGCAGTCAGAGTAGCAGTTAGGCCTGGATATACATGGGTAAAGGTGTGGAAGGGGCAGTGAGCTGAGTTCCTGCTATGTGCACAGCTCTTTGTTAAACATTGTAGGCAGATGGAGGCGTAGGGTTCTCTAGGTGAGATGCCAACCTGTGCAGAGTGAGTGCACGATCTCATACCAGGTGTGCACAGGATGCCAGGAGAAGTAACGGTCTCAGTACCTAGAGGCTCAGGGAAAACATCCAGAGGAGGTGAGAACATAATTAAAATCTGTGAGCGTCTTCCACTGTGAGACACTGTACTAGGCTCTTAGGGACACAGAATTTAAGAAGACATAGTTTTCTTCTTCTCATTCTTTCTATGAGGTTCTTGAGGCACTCCTAGTTGTGATTCATTTACTAATGCAGCAAACATATTTCCAGCTGTTGTTCTGTGCCTGTACCACCATGGTTCACATAGTGAACCAGACAAAGTCTTGCTCTCATGGGTCTCTCAGACATCATGTTGTTGTTGTTGTTAGGTGCTCTGAGTCAGCTCTGACTCACAGCGACCCTGTATACAACAGAACCAAACTCTGCCTGGTCCTGCGCCAACCTCACAATCCTTGCTATACCTGAGCCCATTGTTGCAGCCACTGTGTCAATCCATCTCGTTGAGGACCTTCCTCTTTTTCGTTGATCCTCCATTTTACCAAGCATGATACCCTTCTCCAAGGGAATGGTTCCTTCTGACAACATGACCAAAGTAGGTGAGACAAAGTCTAGCCATTCTCGCTTCCAAGGAGCATTCTGGCTGCACTTTACACATCATATATATACATATATAAAATCTAACCTGTTGCCACTGAGCCAATTCTAATTCCTAGCAACCCTCTAGGACAGAGCAGAACTGCCCCATAGGGCTTCCAAGGCTGTCATCTTTATGGAAGCAGACTGCCACATCTTTCTCCCACAGAGAGGCTGGTGGGTTTGAACTACTGATCTCTTGGTTAGCAGGCAAGTACTTAACTAGTGCACCACCAGGACTCCTCATCACTTATATAGAAACCAGTGTCACACATGTCAAAGTGTGCACCCAGGAAAGCACTGAAGAATGAATGGGCAGGATTTGCTTGAGTGCAGAGCCGGGGGCCTACCCCAGGTTTAGGTGATCCTGGAAGGCTTCCCTGAGGAGGTAACATTTGTGATGAGATCTAAGGAACATGTAGGTGTTAACAGAGAGAAAGAGGGTAGATGGGACATGGGGATAAGATGGGACCCGAAGAATACAGGAAGAGACTCAGGGTTGCCAGGAGAAGCCCACTGCTGGTTGGGAGCTGGGAAGGAAATTAATCAAGAAGCTTTGGAATCTAAATAGAATATGACTGTTTGTGCCCCTGACGGTTAGATCCCAGTAAGTATGTTCTGTGATTCCTACCTCTTAAGGCTGGACCAAGAGGTGACCTTTAATTCCAATTGGGATTAAAGGTGACCCTTTGGCTTGGTGCCCTGGCTGACGCTGACTGCCTCCTGGTCTGTCTGTCTCTCCCCAGATCAGCTTGTCCTCAGGGACCCTGCTTCTGTTGCTGGGTGTGGCAGCCTTGACCACTGGCTATGCAGTGCCCCCCAAACTGGAGGGCATTGGCGAGGGTGAGTTCCTGGTATTGGATCAGCGGGCAGCTGACTACAACCAGGCCCTGAGCACCTGCCGCCTGGCAGGCACGGCACTCTGTGCAGCGGCTGGAGTCCTCCTGGCCATCTGCCTGTTCTGGGCCATGACCGGCTGGCTCAGCCAGGACACCAAGGCAGAACCCGTGGACACTGAAGGTGACGGCCACGTGGAGGTCTTTGGGGATGCGCCAGAACAGCAGCTGTCCCCCATCTTCCGTGATGCCAGCAACCAGTCCTGGTTCTCGCCACCTGCCAGCCCTTTTGGGCAATCCTCAGTGCAGACCATCCAGCCCAAGCGGGACTCCTGAGCTGGCCACTCGGCCAGAGGAGGAGTGGGGCCTGGGATCTGGGCCCTTCTGCCTCCCCACCACAATCCACCCTCCATTGTCTTCCCAACTTCTCCCTTTCAGCAGAGCCTCTTTCATTCAAGCTCCAAAAGACCCAATCCCAGGTCAGAAAGTCTGGATGTTAAATCTCCCTGTTCCTCCCCCATGGGTAGGATCATAACTCATCCAAAGTGCCAGTCTTGCCCACATCCTCCTAAAAAGTGGCACCTACAAGGGACAGTACACATCTGTCTCAGAAGGGCACCGTTCTTCCCACTGTGTGACCTTGGGCAAGCCCTTTACCCTTTCAGACCAGCAGTTCCTGCCTCTGTACTAGAAGGGATTTTTGCCAGATTCTAAGTTCTGAGACTTTCCTATTTCTTTCTCCTAGGGACAAACGCTACTCTCCATAGGCAAGGATGAGGTGAGGGGTAAGAAGGGTCTGTTTTCTCATCTACCAGGATGCCTCAGGATGGGTTGAGGATGCTCACTTGGCCTTCCTACCCCCCAACCAGGATGATGTGAAAACACCCCACTTTACCCCATACAGTATGTTTCCTACAGGTATTTGGCATCAGAGCCCCACAGTCCACCCTGTCATGGGGCTATGATTGGCCTCAGTTTACAAATAAGAGGTGACGTGTGCAAGGTCACAAAACAAGGCAGTCTGCAAAGACTCAAATCCACATCTTCAGACTCCTCCTGGGCCAGCTCTTGTTCCAGGGACTCACACTGTCCTGGTTCCCAGGGGACCCACTGGGCGGCAGGGCAAGTTTGCCCAGAGAAACCAGTTGGAGGCCTGATGGTCCCAGGTAGCTTGGAAGATATTTTGGACGTGGATTTAAGTGGTCTTGAAGAGCCAGAAGGCAGGAGACCTGGGATGTCTTTTCCCCTCAAAGCCCTCCCACCTAGGCCAGGCCCAGACTGTGACCTGCTGTCTAACCAGTCCTTCTGGAGGGACCAGTCCTGTTCTGCAGGCTCTCCAGCCAGAGTGTCCTCCCTCCACCACTAGGGGGAGCTCTAAGACAGCTGGAGAGAAACGCCCATGGCCCTCCTCCCTACCACTCCCCAATACCACCCAGTCTCAGCCTGGGCAAGCCAGGAGGGAGGGTCCTCAGTACTCAGAAGGCCAGGCCCTATGATAGTTGTGTCCCTTGGCCTTCCCCATCCTGCACCCCTTCCATCCCTCCTTCCCTTTCAATAAACAGTTGGGATGGATGCTGACTTTGCCTCATTTCTCTCTGACCATTGGGACATGAGGAGGGAGGAAAAAGATCTTTATGTGTACCTACTCTGTGCTGGGCACTTATGTTTGTTATTTCTAATTTGTTTTCATGATATCCCTGAGAAATGGATTATTATCCTTATTTTGGAAGTCCCTTGGTAGTTCAGACAGCTAAGTGCTTGGCTATAAACAAAGTCTGGCACCTCAAACCCACCAACAGTGCCTCAGAACAAAGCCCTGGCAATCTACATCCAAGAGGTCATGGGCTTGACAACCCCATGGAGCACGGTTCTAGTCCGAAATGCATGGTGTCACCATGGGCCGGAATTAACTTGATGGTAACTGGTATCTAAGGTGTCTTCATTTTCCAGATGAGATACCTGAGGGTCAGAGAGGCAGTCACTTACCTAAGTCTTCTCAAGAGGTGGATTTAAATACTAATCTCATTGGTCCGCTGCGTGAGAGTGTGTGGAGCTCCCATGCCAGGTAAGAAGGAAGTTTCTCAGGCATTTGAGGACACACTGCCCTCATCCCATGGCCAATCAAGGCCAGCAGACAAAGAAAGGACTAGGAGGGCAGGTCCTGGGGAGAGGACAGGATCCAAAAGTGGGATTTTTTTCCAGGGTCATAACAATAGCTAATACCTATTTGAGTTTACCAGGTGCCAGGTCCTATTCTCAGTGCCTTACAGACATGAACTCATGTAACCCTCACAACAGCCTGTGAAGTGGTGGTGTGGATTGAATTGTATTCAAATCTGTATCACCTGTGGTTGTGATCTGGTTTGGAAATAGAGACTTCTTTTGTTGTGCTAATGAGGTCGACCAAAGTGGAGTGGGTCCTGAACCTAATAATAAAAACAACAGAATAGAAACAGACACACACACACACACACACAGAATACACCATGTAAGACAGGCACACATACAGATGGTAAGTACAAGGCCCAGGACACTAAGAACTGCTTGCTAACAGACTCTGAAACAGGCAAACAAGCCCCCCCCCCCCGCCACGCCCCGAATTGCGAATTTTAGCTCCTGAACGCTGAGAAAATAAATTTTGATTCTTTAATATCCGCTTGTGGTATTCTTGGCACAGCAGTACTGGCTAAGTCAGATGGGGTCTGTTATTCCCAACTCTCACTCCCAAATTCCAGGGTTAATTGTCCAACACCATTCCTGGATGTTGAATCTCCAATTCAGTTATCTCAAACCGACCTCCTTATCCTCTCCTGCCCCTAAACCTGCCCCTACTTCATTGTCCACATCTTAGATAGTAGTAGCTCCATGCTTCCGGTTGCTCCAGCCCAAACCTTGGAGTTATCTCTGACTCCTCTTTTTCTTTCACACCTCGAATCTAATCTATCAAGTCCTGTCAACTTAACCCTGGAAACGCATCCCAAATCCAACCACTTCGCATAATCCCCATGATGAGCTAGCTTCCTGGTCTAAGCCACCATCACTTCTCATCTGCATGTTACCCTAGCTTCTCCTTGGTCTCCCTGCATCTTATTTTTCACACACACACACACACACACCCCTCCAACTCTGATTTCCACAAGTGAGCCAGACACATCCTGTTAAAACATAAGTAGGTCATGTCCTGCCTTTGCTCAGAACCTTCCCATGGCTCCCATGTTACTCAGAGTAAAAGCCAAAATCCTCTTCATGGCCCACAAGGCCCCACAAAATTTACCACTCCCTACCTTTCCCTGTGACCCCAACTCTCACTATTCTTCCCCATTCCGTCTCCTCTCCAGCCACACTAGTCTCCTTCTTGTTCCTTCTTCAACAAGCTAGCCTCCTGCCTCAGAGCTTTTGCCTAATTGTTCCCGCAGCTCAGGGTGTGGCGGAGTAACATCCCCAGTTAACCACCTGGCCAATTCCCTCACCTCCTTTAAGTCTTCGCTCAAAAAGGGAATACACACCCATGACCATATATAAGTTTGGCAGATGATATTTCTACATATGTATTTTTATGTGCTGTAAGAATTTCTAGGTGTACAGAACTGACAAGGGACAAGGTTGTGGTGGCTTCTTGGCCACAGCCAGCTACTTGAAGGAGCAACAGGAGAGTGGAAAATAGCAAAGGCCATAGCTAGCTATTTAGGCATGCTGCACCCCTCGAGGTGATCCTCGAAAACAAAGACAAGTTCTCCAGGCTGTCACAGGATTGGCTCCCCCGAAAGCCACAAAGCTGAGGAAAATGTGAGAGGGATCCAGATCAGATACAGACACATCGCTAATGATATGGATTGAGAACCAAACCCCAAAGCAAATCTCTCTAAGCATGTTGACAATTACTACTAAGGCACAAAGCTTGTTTGAAGTGCTTGAAGAAAAAGCAGGACCAGACTACGATATGGTGCTCTTAAAAAACATCCACTGCCGTAGAGTAGATTCTGACTCATAGTGACTTCCACTGGATTTTCAAAGTGGTAAATCTTTACAGAAGTAGATGCCTCAGCTTCTTTGCATGGTGTTCTTACGAGGTCTAAATCACATAACATCCTATTTCACAGAAAGTATCATGGGTGTTAAATGATGCATGACTGTAGCAACATCTAATTCCAAATATGACTAGGCACTGTGCCAAGCAAACAAAACATTCTGGGGACAGCTTTAACCCGTGGGCAGCTCTATGCAGCTCCAACTCAGACACTCTTGGGTACTGTCCATGGCTGATCAAGACCAAGGATAGGATTTCGTGTTGACTAAATGGCCCAGAAACCAATGTAGACCTCTGCTATCATCCCAAAACATGTCACTTCAACTTTCCTTTTCCCGGCTGCTATCTGGGAAGCCATCTTTTGTTTGTAATCTCGATAAATCCCAGGTATCCACACATCCCAGTCTCCAAAAAGCATCCCATCTCAGAGAAGCTGCATCCAATAACCATAATCAATAACCAATAATCTCATCTGTCACTTGCATCCCTGGAAAAAAGGTAAAGGAGGTTCAGTGTCACTGATATACTGCTAATGAGGGTGTGAATTGCTGCAGTCTACAAGAAAGCTATTTGGCAATATCAAAAGGAAAATAAGTGTGTCCTTTGAGTCCTGTGGTTAGTGGGGGTACATCTGTAAGTTTAATTCTACATATTGGAACACTGAGGAATAGTTTGTAATAGAAAATGTTTGGAAACAGCCAAGTGTTCATTGGTACAACGCTAGTTGATAAATTATGGTCCATTTATAAACTGCAACACTATGTAAAAGAATGAGAAAACTCTTTACGTACTGATCGGGACTCATCTGCAAGTTGTATTGTTAGATGAAAAGGCGGAGAACATTGTGACTGCTGTGATGGTTAAGGATGCGTGTCAATTTGGCTTGGCCATGCGTTTCAGTGGTTTGGCAGTTATGATGTAGTGATCTCCCACGGTGAGATATGATATAACGTAAACACCTTCATGATGGGATCTGCTATGAATAGCCAATCAGTTCAAAGGGAGTTTCCTCAGGGGTGTGGCCTGCTTCCAAAATATATGGATGTTCTGGCAAAGCTCTCTGGCTTTTTCCTTGATCTGGATCCTGCATCTGGCTAATCGTCATCCGACCTGTGGTTCTTTGAACTTGAACCAGAGGCCTGCTGCATTGCCTGCCGACTTTGGGTCTGTTGCCCTCACTGCCTGTGAGCCAGCGGCCTGCCATCTCACCTGCTCATGTTGGATTCATCAGCTTATGAAGTCAACAACCTGTTTTATTGCCTCTTGATTTTGGGGTCATCAACCCCTACAGCTATGTGAGTCAGGAGAA